AAAAAAAAATCTATTACAAAACAACAATTTAAAAATATTTAACACTGAACCGTTTTTTAACATTCTAGCAGACATTATACCAACAAAGCACAATTTAACTTAAAATTAATAAGTTATTAATATAATATTTTTGGCCATCAGACCCCCTTCTTGAATCAGGCATGTATTTTTTTTTACTGTACAAATAAAAGCAGCCTTGCTGAGCAGAAGAGATTTCTTTTAAAATAAGTATAAATCCCAATTTGAACACTGTGAATGTTATAATAAATGCATTAAAGGGGTCATAGGATGCCCATTTTCCACAAGTTGATATGATTCTTTAGGGTCTTAATAAAAAGTCTGTAACATTAGTTCTTGCTTTTTCTCAACTTTTATTTTGGCGGAAACACGCAGGAAGACCTCAATGCTTTTTGTTGACAACAGCAGATTTATAAACGAGTCTCATTATGAATACATCGCATGTATTGCATTGTCACATGCATTGTAAAAATTTTCGATTTCAATCATCATACAGTAACCAGCAACAATCACCCCTTCCTCTTCTCATTGAAGACATGCGATGCAGTACTAAACAGTCTCTCGCTGTCGGTGCTTGTAATGATTTTTGTATCTTTCTTGGACCGTTTTAAATGCTTCCACACTGCTGACATGTTTGTTGCATTATACTCTACTGTGGTTGCTATTTGATTGCGTCACAACATTGTTCGGTACGATTTATTCGGTCTTTTTGCTTATTCGGCCGAACACCGAAAGAGCTTTTTTTTTGCTATTTTCGGCCGAATCATTTCGGTTGCCAAACATTCGGTGCATCCCTAAATATAAATGCATAAATTTGTATTTATGGAAAGTCCCAGAGTTATTATTGTATCCCAACATTTTTCCCTAACAACATGCATTCTTTTAAAACCATGGCATTGTTTTATTATTTGCACGAAATATATGCAGCTCCGACGTGAGAAGATTGATCTGGAAAACACTCTGGAACAAGAGCAGGAGGCACTAGTCAACCGGCTTTGGAAGCGCATGGACAAACTCGAGGCAGAGAAAAGGTAATGTCCCTTGTGATCCGGTCTGTCTTTCTTAATGCGTTTAATGTCTAATACAAATCTTTGTACATGTCTACAAACACTTGATCAGATTATTTTTTTTCTCTTCATTCTGATTGGCAGGATTCTGCAGGAGAAGCTTGACCAGCCAGTGTCAGCCCCGCCCTCTCCACGTGAAGTTTCCATGGAGATTGACTCTCCGGAGAACATGATGCGACACATCCGCTTCCTCAAGAGTGAAGTGGAGAGGCTCAAACGCAGCCTTCGCACTACAGAGCTTCAGCGTGAGTCCTTGTCTCATTACGCACGCATGCACTCCTGCACAGCACAGCCTCTCTGCCATCATACTGCAGCCGGAGGCAAACAGACTGTACTGCAAATTGGAATACAGCCATTGTATTAATCTTAACAGTAGCTCATGGTATCCATACTATATACAGTTCCATATTAGGATTAGTACTTCCCAATTAATAGTACATTGTACCAAAAGCTAATTGGGTTCCTTGAATAGTGAAGTACATGGTTTTATTTTGTAGTAGAGGTATGTGTAGTACAATACAGTCATAGTATGTAGCACAGTATAGTGAGTTGCACACATTAGTTTAATTCTTAGCTTGAATATTTTAAATTGTGTTATGGCCACTAGAGGGAGACATCTCCATTTACATTACAGTAAAATAACCACAGCTTTATTCTAGCTCTTGGTATCACTCCCATCAAAGCTTTAATCATGGATTAACACAGCAGTGCATAAAGTCAGCGATAAGGTAGATATAAAAAGCGGGAAAAAAAAAAAATATTTATATATATATATATATATATATTAGTTATAAAAATAGATGTGTATATATTATAAAATATTTATATAAAAATATTTAACATTTATTTAATTTATTAAAACTATGTAGTAGGCTTCAAACTGTGAAAATGTTTATGCATTTTGTTTATTTTAATAGTTTTTTTTTATTCATTATAAATATCAGCATAACAATTTGAGAAGGTTTAACTGATAAGCATGAATTAACATATGTCTTAGTATTTTCAAGTTTAAAATGTATCACTTCATCCAGAATTTTAAAAATAATTCAAAGAGCAATCTTGTGCTTCAGTTTTTTTCTCAAAATCCTGAAACATTGTTTATTTACAGGTTTAAATTACAGTTTATATGTCTTTGTAACATTTTTTCTGTGTATGTTTTCTATCATCTTTCTCTCCCTCCAGACACAGAGAAGCGGGCTCAATATATTGAGGAGGAAAGGCAGATGAGGGAAGAGAACATTCGTCTTCAGAGGAAACTCCAGAGAGAAATGGAGAGAAGGGAGGCACTGTGTAGACAGCTGTCAGAGAGTGAGAGCAGCCTTGAGATGGACGATGAGAGGTGCATTAATTACACACAAACACAAAAGATGACTGGACTCATGACCTTATGTACATATATGATGAACCTTGAAAATAACCAGACACACTGGTCTTAACATGAGCATTGTAGGACTGACCTGGTTCATCTCTATCTCTCTCTAGATATTTTAATGAGATGTCTGCTCAGGGACTGAGAGCTCGTACGGTGTCCAGCCCAATCCCCTACACCCCCTCTCCCTCATCCAGCCGCCCCATCTCCCCTGGTATGTGCCCACGCAGATTTATCACTCTTTTATAGCAACAACTGTCTTTAACAGCTATTTTAAATTGTAATTATTTCACTTTTTTAACACATTTAACAAATGTTTTTACTGTATTTTTAATCAAAGGTGAGCATATTTAACATTTCAAAAACTTAAAAATAGCTATAACTGTTGGACATTAGTGTACGTGATTAAAAGATTTGATGTGGTTTGTCTTTGGCTCACATATCCATTTTAATACTCAACAGGCTTTCGGCACACAGCCTTTGGATCAGTTTCTAGGGTGATGATTAGACGAATGTGTTTTTATGGAGTGTTAATTATTATGCAAGCTGTACTGTACAGTGATGTGAAGGTATATTAGGTCAGCGTCTTGCTTTCTGTCTCATCTTGCTTTCTGAGATTAAACTGATAAATGAGGGCTAACCTTTGAGGTCTATAAACATAAATCTTTTAGATTGATGATGATGTAGATGTTTTATGGTTTTTAAATTGGCATTAGGTATTGTAGGTTTTGATAAACACAAAATAGATAAACTAGGTAATAAACTAAAATAATCTTTTAAAAAAACAAACTCATGAACAAGTATATCAAGTTATGCAATTCAAAAGTTTATGAAGTTCAAATGACCAAAGATTAATATTGATAAGGAGAGCTTAAATCAGAAAAAAGTCAACATTTTGTTTATTGCTGGTTTTTAATAACAGCATTAATGGGTTGCATCATGTAAAAAAACGTGTGCTTTTTTTTTTTTTAATGACCTCAGAGAATTTAGATATGCATGATGAAATTAATAACACTGCACATCGATGGTGTGAAAATCACATTTTCTATTGTATTGCTGAGGAAGGCTGATTTATAATTTTCTGAACCAATCTAGTTTTTTCATTAGTTTTCTGTGCTGAGACCAATTATTATACATTTTCTCATGATCTCAGAGGAGTGATCTACTGAGCTATTTATATTTGTTCTGCATACTGTCATTGTTCGTTTCGAAATCTTGGCATCTTACAAAAAAACCAGCATAAAGGACCTCAATAAAATCGATTAGCAGATGCTCTCTTTTCATTCCAGGTTTGTCGTACGCTAGTCACAGTTTACATGCAGGAAGCAGTGTGTCATGGACAGCCTGTTTTCAGTTAAGATCCATTGTAACGCCATTCAGCTGAATTGAAAACAGCACATTTGATGACTCATCTGTGAGTCACCTGGTGACACTCGACCTCAGAACGCTCTTCCTCATCCCCATTGTGTGCCTAAGTTAATATTAGCACGCTGAGCCGAGCACCACTCCCCCACTACACGTCTCCCGGGCTACACATCCACCCAGGACCCTCACACGCTGTACAGGTGCCTACACACACATCCAGCAACATTTGATGACTCATCTGTGAGTCACCTGGTGACACTCGACCTCAGAACGCTCTTCCTCATCCCCATTGTGTGCCTAAGTTAATATTAGACCAGTACTGTGAATCCTCAGCCATTCAAATAAGATAAAGCACAAAAGCTGCATCCTGACTTTCTGTGTACCTTGCCGTGTATTCTGACCTGTTAGATGGAGTGATAGTGCACTTACTCCACCCAAAACAAACACAAAGGTGCCATGTCTTGTACTGTGTAATGGAGATATTAAATTATATCATAATGCAGAAACCCCGATAAGATAAACTCGCTGAACAGAAACATCCATCATGTTTTTGTGCATACAGGTGAGGATGGCCTACATTTTTAAATTTAGTTGTAAAAACATGTTGCACAAGTTTCACACTTTAAATTCACTTTTCCCAAGGAACGTTACTTAAAAAAAAAAAAAAGTATGCTGATGAATTGACATGGTTTATTTTTAATCTTGCCACTCTTTTTGGTGAGATTAATGATTGACTGTTGATTGTTAAAAAAAAAAAACAACAACATTTATTCCTCTCACTCAGTATTAGGTAAGAAAAAATTCAAATGGCAGAAATGGTTAGGAAAGTCAAAGAAAGTGGTTTAAAAATGACTTTAAGGATGTTTTCTATATGTGTGTCAGGACCAGGTTCATGCCAGTTCAAACAAGACCTGGACAGTCTTTCATCACATTTCCTGTCATTCATGGCAGCTCTAGAGTAGTTGAGGTGACACTGTAGCTATTGATTTCAAAATGAAAGGTCTACTTCCTGAATTTAAAATTTTTTATCAATGTTGAAAACAGCTATGCTGCTTAATATTTTTGGGGAAACTTGGATACATTTGTTTTTATTCTTTGAGAAGAATGGTCACAAGAAGTTTTTTTAAATTCAAATTTACAATTTGTTCTTAATAAAAGTTAATAAAGTTAAAAACTTAATAAAAGTGTTAGTTTCTTTCTAAAAATCTTAAAGACCCCAGACCTTTGAGTGAGTGTGTATATTTCCTTTCCAAGCCATTTTGTACCATTTAAGAAAAATGGCGACTGCAACGTGGATTTAATGTGTCACTTTATCAGGTTAATGTTAGCTAGCAGATAAATAAGTTATCTATAAATGTACAGCAATGAAGTAATCATTTTCATCCTGTCTCAATTTCAACTTATGCATGTTCCACAACACCCTCTGGATATTGTCCAGTTGAGTGAAGGCCAACAATGTAAGTCTAGCCATGTTGCAGCAGCAATTAGTCCAGCCTCATGTTTGTCTGTTGCACATATATGACCCCTCTATTTACCAGCAGAGACTTTTGATGAAGTGACTGACTAGGTAAGTACATTACATAACCTCACCCTTGCCGTCCCTTAATGGGATGGCTCATTGCATAGCGAACTAAATAACCAAAAACATCAACACGATGCGGTCCAGTTGCTTGTTCATTTCACAAGACTGAGTTTGTAAGCAATTGAAATATTCTGTGCACACTTCTGAGGTAGTGTATTGAGACCAAGAAATCCAAAAGTATTTCATTGTACGTTTTGATGTATGGGCACATGGATCCAAGGGAAGTGGTATGACAAAAAAAAACAACTCCTCCTAGGATATGCTTTTGTGATCTTTAGCGGTAGTATTAGCAATTAGCAAATCTAGTCACTTGACCTCCGTTCCATGTACTTTACAACAGATATGGCCTGATATGGCTGCTGAGCTGATTTGATTAGGTAATACCGAACTTAAACTTCTTACTACACGGGTGACCACTTCAGGCTTTCAAAGAATAATATTCAATGACAGGTTTGGATTAGTCGCTAATTCATGACACTCATTATTGTTGCCTCTTTTTGCTTTCCTAATACCTATTTGAACGTTGTGGATTATATTTTCCTGTTGGGGAGCTGTTGGCTATAGCAACAGTGAACTGTTTGTTTTAGCAAAGAGCGGCTGGCTCACTTTCATGTCCCGTGGTGCCTTGAAAAAGTCAGCTTGTTTTGATAAACCTGGAGTGACAGCAGAGCCAGACTCTTCCAACACACTCATAGGGGTCACATTTGCACTTTCACACTCAGTTTGCACATGTAAACACACTCATGTGTCAAATAAACTAGGGGAGTTGATACCAATGACCATTTCATGTGTAAATTTTAGCATAGTTTTGTTTAGCAAAAGCGTGACCAGTCAGAAAGTACAACTGTTGAATCTTTTTTTCACCAGACATGTCGTATTTGGGATTTCAAAATTGCCTAAAATGTCTAGGTTTTGGCTTTGTTTTCCTGTTGTTGTGTTCTCTACAGTCCTCATACATTACTGATGAAATTGAAACCACATACTAGAATGCTATTTCACATATGCTATCACATACTAGTAGGCAATTTAGCAGAGGATATTATAAATTACACTTCCATTAAAAGGTTTGGGGTCAGTTTGATTTTTCTTTTGTTTTTGAAAGAAATCTCTTGTGCTCACCAAGGCTAGATGTAATGTAAATGTAATTTATTTCTTTGATGGTAAAGCTGAATGTTTTGTGGCCGTAACACCAGTCTTCGGGGTCTCATGATTCATTGGAAATCTTTCTATGCTGATTTAGTGCAAAAATAAAAACTTATATTTTGTTGTCTTAAGCAGCACAACTGAGTTCAGCATCAATAATAACATTTTTGTAGAAACCGTGATATTCTTTGATTTCAAGATTTTTTGATAAATAGAACGTTCAAAAGAACACCATTCATTTGAGATAGATATATAACTTTAAAAGTCTATTTTCTGTCACTTTGTATATCACATCATGAGCTTGTTTTTTATTTCCTCCCGTCATACAGAGGCCATCCCCAAGGAGAAGCAACAGCCCAGATAAGTTTAAGCGTCCGACGCCGCCTCCCTCCCCAAACACACACTCTGGAGCACAGCACCCTCCTCCACCACCACCACCCGCACAGCCGATGGTGCAGTCTGGCTCCTCCCACTCTGTGACATCACAGAATCCCCCCTCTCAGCCTTAATGCATGCACCATGCGCTACCTTAAGCTAGGCTGCTCCAAGCTAGGCTACACTACTACTACTACTACTACAATGACAACAACTCCGTGATCCTCCACTGGGCAAAGGTTGGAAGGGATTGGAGCGGATATGGAATTAGAGGACTGTTGAACTGGGGAGCGAAAGGACTGGGAATGTGAGAAGGGAGAAGGTGTAGATGCTTGGCCTACTGACAGATCCATAACCAGCCCCATGCCGTTAAATTTCGTTATTCTTACTGTTTTTTTTTTCTGTAAAGTGATCAAGCTGGTTCAGGAAAAGATTAGGAAAGTATAGGAAGATTGTTCGAGAGGGTTGTCAGCTGCGTATGCCTGCGCTTTTTTTTTTTTTTTTAACAGATTAACTGTTAAATGTAATCAAAATTTTCCATTTAATAAACAACTCAACACTCAATTGGATAAATCTTTATGAGTGCATCTTCACAGAAGTTGAAAAGAAATCCCAGCACATTTGCAGTGGGTGGCAGTAAAACTTTTTTCTTTGTTTTATTGTTTTTGTTTGTAAAACAGACGTGTGCGCGTGTGGCTCGTTGGCAGCATGTAGATGGTAAAGAAGACAGACTGAAATGTACTGAAACTGCACTTGTTGCCTCTCTGCGTGTGTATTATAGTGGGATTATATTGTTTGTGTGTGTGTCTGCACAGCCATAGATGTTTCCCACAACTGCTGGTCGGGGACCAGTCTCTCCCTGCTAGAATCCAAACATGACCCACTACGAAAACAAAGTCAGTACTGGTTTCTGATCAGCAGCTCAACCTCTTTCAGAGCCCTCGCTGTAAAGTGAGTGCCCTGAACGCTTATTCAGATTGGGGAATTTTGCTTAATGTCAGTGTCATATAACACCTAAACATGAACTGACATGTTGATGCAACAAAACAAGGTACTGTTGAACAATTAACTCAACATGATTAAATGCTTGTACAAAAAAAAACTTTTTTATTTTTCTTACCTGAAATGTGTGCAAGTTATTCAACTTTAGCTTATGACGCTATGTGTGTGTTTTAACCTCATTGAATATTTTAAGGATTGTTAAAGATACTGTGATTTTTGAAGGTTCTTTTATTTTTTTTGTTTTAGTCAGATCCTAGGGGGAAGGATTCAGAAGTCACGAGTGACGGGTCACATTTCCTGCTTTTTTTTTTTTTTTTTTTTTTTAAATCAAGAAAAAATCTCATTGTAGCCAGGTCTCCTAAACGGGTCTCTTTCTGCAAAGGAATACATCAATATATTTATATTTGAGAGGTGATGGGTTTATTTAAAATCTAAAATTCGAGAGATACCAGTGCAGTTAGTATAGCAAAATAAATAGCAGTTAGCATGCCCACATCCTCAAAAAAACATGAACCTTATAAACTGACACAGCTGTTAAATACAGTTACAACAAAGATAACTTTTAGACCTTGCTAATGTTTTGTCTAAGATGATAGTACAACCAAGGTTCAAGAGACATTAATACAAATTTTTCCTATTCGGGAATGTCTTGTTAATAATGTTGCATATTATAGGGCCTATACAGTTCGCTGAAAAAAAAATGATTCATTGAATTTACTAAATCTTTTTAAGGTAAGTGGTTGCAATCAGTTTATTTTAGCTACATTAAAATAAACAAATGTGGTTGACTAACTTTCAAAAAAAAAAAATGTTTTTTTAAATGTAGCTCAAATAAATTGTGCAACCACCTTAAAAAAAAATTTGTATCATTTTTTTTTCAGTGTTCTTTGTAATATTAATGCGTTTCACTGCTTGTTTTTATTTATGTATGATTCAAAACATGTTTTGATACTGTGTTCAGTCACTGTCAAATGTGGGGCCAAAAACAAATCAAAAGGTGAGCAACAGGCTAGATGATACAATAAAATCGAATTTCTAATTTTTCAAACTACCGTACATGACTGTTCATGTGCTCCCTTGGCTTCTAAATGAAATTAAAAAATGAAATATGATGACCTATTTTTCAGGGTGTGCAATTTCCATGTAGGTAGTCTTAAAAATATGTCCTTCAGGCCTCAATCATTACCAAGATGTCTTAATTCATATGACCGAGCACATGCACGTGTCATTGTGTCAATATGAGTTATCTGCGTGTAGGATTATGTAACGTTTAACTTCGTTATCTCTTCACAGAACTACAGAGGTGTGTGTGAACGGTAACCTGTAAAAAAAACCCCTCTAGTTTTAATTACTTATTGGCTGAAGCTGTTTTAGTTTGACTTCTGACCTTCTGTTGACACATGGTGACTTGTGATTTCACCAAGTACAACATGTTCCTGGATCAACATCCCTATCAACCAATCAGAATTGAGGGTATACGTTTCCAGGAAATATCTGTTTTAGGCTTATGATCAGGGTTAGGTGCTTCTACACCCTTGTGATTCAACTATCATTTCACACTGTTTTTAGGAATAAATTATGGGTAGGGTTAGGTTTAGGGGTAGGGATTGGGTTAAGTCTATATTTTTGGACAGTTATGTTGATCCAGGATCAACAAAAGATGTAATCCCTGCACAAGTATTTCAGCATAAGCTGTCCTGTGCTGCTTTCTCTCCAGCAACAGCCACTCTCACCTGGTTCAGACCGGTTCTGTCAGGCTCGGGTGGTCAAGGGGGTGAAATCGACCCTCAAGTTCTAACATTACGGACAGATTCGAAGAATAGTTAGTCACACAGTTCAGTGTGTTTGGGTTCTAAAAAAGCTAACATAGATATACCCATGTGACTGCATTAGCAGGTAGGGAACAGCCAGGGGTGCTTGTAACAATTTACCATTTCTTTTGGTAGATCTATAAAACAGAAATGACTTAACTGTACAATAAAATCAATATAATACTAATAGTAGTAATAATTAGAAACTAGTATTAATAATTAAATAATAATTATTAGTAATATTTTAAATCTGGTAACAATTATTTGAGAACCTGTCAAAAAATAAATACTTATACAATAATTAGAATTATAAAATTTAGCACACTTATAGTAACAAAAATAAGATAATAGGAATAATACTTATGTTAACAATCAGGAAGAACATGTCAGAATACAATGATAATTATAATAATTATATAATATTGTTATAAAATTAAAATGACAATCAAAAATGATATACTTTTAATACAATTTTATAATAATACATTTATCAAAAATAGTATTTAATAAATAATAAATAATGTATTACATAATTTAAATAAATTAAATAATTCTGGTAGCAATCATGGAGAATCATTATTAATAATTATAAAATAGTATAATTGTATTATTTAAATGATACAATTTAAATAATCATTTAAAAGCCACTTTAATTATTAATGGATCATTGGGGTCTACATTTAATAATGAAAGGGTGAAAGTAGGGTGAGAAAATGTCCTGATCTAAATTTTGACTTGCTAGTTTAGTTAAGTTACACTGATATGATGCTCTGTATATGTGTTGAGTAAGATGAAGCTGCTAAGCTGAAAGTTTCACTGCCCTGCGTCAGTCTTTGGAGAAGGCATGTCTTCTCTTACCGTTCCCTCAGCTGACTTGAGCTTGATTTGCTGCTGACCTGCGTTTAAGGGTAAGAATGGAGTGGCAAAACAAGACTGTCAACATCAGGAGATGCCGTATGTGTGAGCAAGTCAATAACGGAGAACGAGAGGGAAAGGGAAGGGAGTGTCAGGATATCACAGAGGTCACTCCAGGTCTGTGTTCTCCGCCATGCTAGTCAAGTTGAGTCAGCATTCCTGAAAGAGGAAGCAAAATCTCACAGTAAACATGGAGATCATGTCACACTCACAGCTTTTGTTTTCCAGATGGACTGCTCTCATTACACTTCCTCTGAAATGGGATTAATCTTTTTTTTCCAAGAAAAACTACAAAAAAGCTCTTAATAAGTATGGCGATTACTTAACATTACAGCAAATCCAACCAAACTAAATTAAACCGTAAGCTATTTCTGCTAAAACATAACTCAAATCTTCTCTCACACTCACTCAAATTGAACATCAACACAGAGAAAATTAAACTATAGAGGAGAAATGCACACTATCAGTCGAAAGTTTGGACGCATTTGACTGTTTGATGTTTCTCATGATCTTTGAGACCTTTTATCTAGTTTTGTAGACAGATATAAAGTGTGTTTGTGTATGAATTTATTTACAAAACCACCGTTTTAATTAAAATGAAAAAAAAAAAAAAAAAACGCGAACTAGCGAGTGAAGGAAAACAACCAACATGTGCCCAGCATGCATGGGAACTACTTCAAGACTGTTGGAAAAGCATCTGAAGTGGCTATTTGTGAAGTTTTGAGAGATCGCCAAGAGTGTGCAGCAGTGTTAGATATTTAACAATTAAAATCATAAAACGGTCTTTATTCACGGTTTAATATGCATACTTACTATTTATTTGATGACTGCTATTGTAAAAAATTATAATAAAGCCTGAGTGGGTGTGTTTAAACTCTTGACTGGTACTGTAAATGAACTTGCTCTGTCCATCATGTCAAGCTCTATGTTTTCTTATTAAGCAGACTTTTTAATCCAAATGTAATCTAGAGCCAAGGGTATGTTCCTTCCAGAAGTATCCCATTGGTTTCCCAGATCCCTGCGGGCTGCAGTCACGCCGCATAAGAAGAGATGTTGTCCAAAAAGGTGATATGAGGCAAATGCAATTAACTGTTCTGTTCTTTCTTTTTATTCACTCTCTTTTCATGTCAGAGGGGATTACAGAGTCAGGGTGGGGGAGGCCGAACCAGTGTGGGAACCAGTACAAGCACAGCGCAGGAACAGGATCTCGGTGGGCTTAGAGCCCAAGCCGTCTGATCCTCAGCACAAAAGTTCAGCCGACCACCCAGACAGAGACAAGAGATGTAGAAGGGTGGGAAGAAGTCTACAAGGTTTGCTCTGTTGCTGAGTCTAAAACATGTTCTTCAACATCTTCAGCTTTGGATTTATACAGATATTTATTTTTATGCCTCCATGCCTTTAATGTCATTTATTTTACTGCCTCCAAATAAGTGAATTATAGTAACAGAGGTGAAAGCCTATTGTGATGTAAAACTACAGGTTTCCTTTATTTTTTTAATTTGCATATTACTTCAGAGATGCATGATCTGAGACAAACAACAGATTATTGCTTATTGCAAACTTACTGCTTTTACTCATTCATTTGGTAATTTTAATAACATAACCTTGAAATTTCAAAAGATTTAATGTATTCATAATGTTCCCTTTAACTAAAATCTGTTTTGTCATGAAAACTCACTTGCAGTTGCAGAGACAATGATAATGAGCTGACTTCATTTTAAGCACAGGAAATGTATTAATTTGTTTTTTATTGAAAAGTTTTAAACGTTA